GTGTGAAAAATCTCATTCTATGTTTACCCATTTGTTGATGGATATTTAAATTGCCTTTCATTTTTTTGCTTTTGTCAACCATGCTCCATTGACATTGTTCTCTTTTGTATAAGTTAGAGTCCAAGGTTCCCTCACTTGTGGAAGATAGAGGTAGGACTGGAAGACTGCACAGTATGCAAGTCTTCAACTTTGCTTTGCCAAAGTCCTGTTCAACAGGGGTGCCATATGATGCTCCTGCTAGCAACAGGCAGTGACTTCAGCACAAAATGTGTAAAATATACCTCATTGTTTTAGTTTTTTTCCCTGTTACTAAATGAACAGTTTTTCATGTGCTTAATGGACCTCTAGCTTTTCTCTTTGTAAATTGCTATATTCATTCTTTTTTTTGAGGTTAGGTTTTTTTTTTTTTTCCTTGTTCTTTATCTGGATGTTATTCTTTTGTTAGATGGGTTGCAAATATCTTCTCCTAGGCTGGGGCTTGCATTTCCAGTTTGGAGTATCTTTTAGTGTATGGAAGTTTTACATTTCTATCACCTTATGACTTCTGCTTTAAAACTATTATTTAAAAAGTATTTATTGGCCTTATAGCCATAAAGATATTCCTGTGTTTCTGAATATTTTTTTAGTGTCTTTTAAAAAAATTAGGTCTTAAATCCACATGGAATCTGTTTTTGTATATGGGCTAATGTAGGATTTATTTTTTCCCTCACATTGATAACCAGGTGTTTGTGCTTCAGTTCTTGAATAAACCATCTTGGTCACACTGATTTGTAATGCCATCATGTTCTATGTCAGGATTCTGTATTTGTGAGGATCAGTGCCTGAGCGGCCTATGATGCTTTCTTTGTATATCTCTCTCAGTGCTACTTCCTGCTATTGACTATGACAGATTAAAAATAAGTTTTGCATTTGATGGGAAAAATACATCATCTTCTTTCTTGCTTATTATCTATCGATTCTAACATGTATATTAGGATTAGATTGCTAAATTTAACAAAATGTCCCATTAGGATAGCATTGAATCTAGAGACCAAATATTGAAACTTTCAAACTACAAGATAAAATTCAGATTTTTAGGAAAATATTTATCATTTTCTCCAGAGATTTCATAACTTGAACTTCTTTTGTTAAAATTATTCTCAGATATCCAGGAAAAATGTTTGTAATTGGAATTTTTCTCTTTTTCTGTATCTCCTAGTTATTAGCAATCTATAGGAAAAGTTTTTAATTTGTTTGGTATTAGTTTTGGTATGTTGATTTTTTAATCTATTCACAATGTGAAATCACTTATTCTAATTGTAGAGTCTCTTGCTTTTTTTTTTTTAACACCGTGTGTACATGATAATGTTGTCTGAAATTGAAAACAGTTTTTCTTTTTTAGTCCTTCTGTCTCTTATTTATTTTTATATTTATTTTCTCTTATTGATTTATTAAAGTGCTAGGATCTTAGGTAAATTGTTGAAAAGAAGTAACCTCGAAGGAAGTGCTTCTAAAGTGGCACTCTTCAGTGTGATGTTTGCTGTAGTTTTGGGAATATACCCTCTATTAGGTCAATGAAATTCTCTTTTATTTCAACTATACTAAATGCTGTTTATTAATTATAAATGAATACTAAATTTTATATAATTCTACATATTTTTAAATAATTGTATCTTTTTTTTCCTTTTAACCTGTTAAACGGATACATTAACAGAATTTTTAGATGTTGAATCATCCTTGTACTTTTGAGTTAAATCAATTGATCATAAGTATATTCTTTCATGATGATAATTCAATTGACTAATATTTTATTCAGGATTTTGCAAACATCTAAAATAATTGTTTATTATATGATTAGCATATAATAGCTATACATGCTTAAACTTCACTATTTGATAAGTTTTAGTATATGTTTGTGCTAGAAAACCCTCTTACAACTAAGATAATAAAGGCATCCATTACCCACAAAAGTTCTGTTACCTTCTGTAATACCATCTTTCCCTCTCTCCCTCAATATTCCTGTATAATAATACACTTTTCAATGATCTGCTAACCATTGATCTGCATTTTGTCAGTACATATTAGTTTACGGTTTTTAGAATTTTGTATAAATGGAATCATATACTATGTATTTTTTCCAATTTCTTTTCACTTAGCAAAATCATTTTGAGATACATATTGTAGCATTATAAATGGTTTATTTTTCCATGTTGCTGTGTGGTTTTCCATTGTGTAGATACATCACAACTTATTCATTTGCCTCTGGTAAGTTCATTGTTTCTAGGGTTTGGATAATTTAAATAAAGTTGCTATGAACATTTATTTATATGCTTTTGTGTGGACAACAAGTGCTTTCATTTTTATTAGATAAGAACTCAGAAGTGAAATTGTGAAATTATTGGGTCATATCAAATTGGGTAGATTTCCTTCTTTTTCTAGTTTTTAGAAATCCCTTTTTTTAATTGAAAATGCATTTGTTTATTTTTTTACAGAATTTTTTTGTTGATTTTTTAAAAATGTGAACAACAATGGAATGCATAATAATTCTTTTTTAAATTTTTAAAATTGATTTTTAAAAATAAATGACAGCAGAATGCATTACAATTCTTATTACACATATAGAGCACAATTTTTCATATCTCTGATTATATATAAAGTGTGTTCACACCAATCCGTGTCTTCATACATGTACTTTTAATAATGATGTCAAACTTTTTAGAAAACCTTGTATAAAATTTTAAAATTTTCTTTTTTAAATGTTAAAAATTCCTGTTAGAGATTTATTTATTATTATTAGTTTTTAAAAACTGTTGCCTTAAAAAAAACTGTTGCCTTTTAATTTTGTGAATCTTTGTACATTTTATTTTCAAGTTTATTTTTTATTCTTTCATGTTTGTTGTATTCTACTTTTTTAAAAAAAGTTTTACTATGCTTTTTACTCCCACTAGCTTTTTTTATATTAGCAGAAATGTTTTTTGATTAAGTCAATATTTTTTTGCTTTTACTAAATGCTGTATGAACACTTTTATGCTCTCTGAAATTAGCATTTTTAATGAATATTTTAAATAACTTTTTTTTCTTTTGGGGGGGTACCAGGGATTAGACTCAGGGGCACTCAACCACTGAGCCACATCCTCAGCCCTATTTTTGTGTTTTTTAAATTTAGAGACAGGGTCTCACTGAATTGCTTAGTGCCTTGCTTTTGCTGAGGCTGGTTTGAACTCATGATCCTCCTGTCTTACCCTCTTGAGTTGCTGGGATTACAGGCATGCGCCACCACACCCAGCAAGTACTTATTTTTAATCACAAATTAAGTTGAAAGCAAATAGAATGATTGAATATGAGAACTGGAAGTGGTGTTGGGGCCCAATTTTTCATTTCATTTTATGTTAGTTTTCCAGAGGTAATGTTATAACAAAGAACCACAAACTTGGTGGCTTAGGAAAACAAAAAATCATTTTCTCATGGTTTTTGGATGCTAGAAGTCCAAAGTCAAAGTGTTCACAGGCCTTGCTTTCCCCCAAGCCTGTAGGCAGAATCCTTGCTTGTCTGTGTAGCTGTGGTCCTGATCCTTGCTCTACTATTATTTTTCACTTTTGTCTTTGCCTCTGTGGCCACATGATAATTTCCCTATGTATTTTTCTTCACTTGGAATTTTCCTATTTTTATCAAGACACCATTAATACTTTATTAGGACTCATCTTAATTACCTGATCTTAACTTGACCATATCTGCAGACTCTATTCTAACCAAGTTCACTTTGGGGGGCTTGCTATTGAACCCATGGCCATAGAATACAAAACTGAGGCACATAAGGTGAAGTAATGTGCCCAAGGTCAACCAGCTTAGTTACTATTAATTACTAATCAGATTTCTCCCCTCAGAGACTTTTCTCAAACATTGTAAGTGTATCTAATTGCAAGTACCTCGGAATGTAGGTGGTTGGTAACTACAACCTTAAAGGAGATAATATATTTGTTTATCCACCAGGGGGAGCCAGGTTCAAAAGGTTCCCCGGGTCAACCAGGAGAACCAGGAGAAGATGGAGCTGCAGGGAAGAAGGTAAGAGTAAGGTTTTCATATTATTGGAGTCCAAACCATTGGACCAGACTGGTATCTTGGTCCTGCAGGAGCTCAAATTAAACCATCCAGGACAAAGAGTATCTTTAAAAAGAAAATTCACACAATTTTAAATTTCCCTTTCACTTACTCTGGATAGAAAGAGTACCAATTTAAAGGCTAAAATAGTGTTTCACATTCTCTGCCTCCTCTCTGGTATTTTGGCCTTGGCATTTTCCAGTAACCTAGTTCCTTCAGGATTTCTAGAAAGCACATTAATTTAAACTTAAAGAAAAATACCCCTTTTACCCTTTCCAAAAGGAGAGTCTGTAAATGCATTCAGGAAGTAAGACCATTGTAAAGATTTCCTGAATAATTTTGAGTTGACATTTGAATACTCATTTTTCAATAAAAGTACTGAAAAACAGCAGATGGAAAGGCTGAAGGTCTTTCTTGTTAAAAATAATATCCACCAAATGTGAATGAAGAGCCAAAGGAAAGTGAGCTTATTGCTTTGAAAATTGGCTGAGAAATTAGACTTTTTCATGATATTTCAGCTGCTCTGGTTGAACTGAAGTTTAATGTTAATTTATTCATTGATATGCTTCCAAATTAATTTTGAGACTAGAGTGGAGGGTCTCAGCTGAATCTGCTGGCAATAAGAGGAGACAAGGTAGAATTATGTATTCTGTCAATGGAACGTTAGCTAAGACTTCAGTGTGATTTCCTCTAGGGAGAAGCCGGGCTTCCAGGAACAAGAGGCCCAGAAGGACCGCCTGGAAAAGGACAACCTGGTCCCAAGGTTTGCAAATGACGAGGTGTTGGGGGAAACAGCCTGTCTATGTTCTGGTCCTGATGCTACGGAACCAACCTATTATTCTTGCTGTGTCAAATGTATTTACATCTGGCTTTAAATTATGGATACTATCTTGTAAGCTTTTGGAAGACAGCAATGTATTATTCATTTTTATTTTCCTAACATCTATCATAAGACACAGCATAGAGAAGAGTTCAACACATGTTTTCTCAATAAATGGTCACATTGACATTTAAAAAACACATAGAAGGAGAAGAAGCCTCAGGACACATTGTTGAAACTTGAAAGTCCATAAATTTTCTTCAGATCTTTATAGAATCTCATACAATAGTAAGAAATATAACTTTTTTAATGGCAATCTAGGGGGGCGCTGTGTAAGCTGTGTGCTTGGCCTGTGCAAAGCCCTGGGTTTGCTCCTTGACACCACAAAGTAAATAAATAGATAAGAATTAAAAAAATAAAATAAATGGTGATTTTATTTCACAATGTGGTATGTTTTACACCCTGTAGAAATGCTGGTTGAATGACATCTTTCTGTGTGAAGATGAGAAATATAAATTCATCAGTAGGGTGAGGCTAGTAGTGACATAATTGACAGCCTCCAAGGTGCCAGATGTCTCTGTAACTTTTATAAAATAGTCATCAATATGCATATAAAGATTCTTATGGATGATATATGAATAAAGTAAAAATGAAATTTGTATACTTATTAATATTTTATTATAATTCTAATAAAATTATGATTGATAGCTTAAGAAAAGTCTATGTCCTGTGAAACTATAAATACTACAAAATAAACAAGGAGAATGTGCACTGCAGGGAAAGGCCACTAGACTTGTGGCTTTGAAGTGGTCTGTGGCTTCTGGAAGGCCATTGGAGAAGAGGTTGGCAGGATCATCTTACAGCCCAGGCAGGTCATGGTGCAGTGTTGACACCTCATTTCATTTAGTTATGTTCCTTTTCTTCTGGGGTAATTGAGGCCAATAAGTAGGTTTGGAAGAGAGTGGAAGAAAATAAATAGCGTTGGTTATGTTTTATCTCTAATGACAGTAATAATGATGTGATAGTGATAATTGGACACCTGTTTTTTTTAACCTATGTTGCTGCTGTCCGTTAGTATGGACTCTGGGAGTTCATTTCATCTGTCCATTCCATGGGAGCCCACCTCTTCTTCTTGATGGAACATTTTCTTTGTTGATGACTGTAGAATAGTCTATTGGTCATCAACGTGCGGTTCCAGGACCAGAAACAGTCACATCACCTAGGAATGTTAGACATGCAAATTAAAATTGGGCACCATTGAAGACCTACTAATTAAGAGGTGCTGGGTGTGGGGCCCAGCAATCTACTCTAACAAGCCCTCCAGGTGATTCAGATGCTCAAGTTTGAAAACCATGGTTTAATCATTTATATCATGAATATTTAAGTGACCTCAACTGCAAACCCCAAAGAGCAATTCCTTTGGTGGGGTGGGTCTACACGTGGATTTGGCAGTGTTAGGCAGTAGTTCAGGATGCCAAGATGGTGGAAGCAGGGTTTAAGAAAGATGCTGCTGAAGAATAGACAGGGGATGCACTCTCATGTCCCTGTGTAGGGTAAGTCCCATTACCATGACAACTCCCACCACTGAGGCCTTAGAACCATGACAACTCCCGCCACAGGTTTGGCATTTTAAAATGACCAATGGGGATAAAGTGGGCAGTATTATAATTAGGTTTTCTAAAGTAACCAATGGGGGAAAATTGGACCATATTTGAATCAGGTATATAAGGTAACCAATAGGAGCAAGTGAGGTAAGGCCTTGAATCAGGTCCATCTAGGGAAGACAGCATCTCACAGCTCCACATATAAAACTCTAATTTCCAGACATTGGGCCCCTCTGTTCTACCTTAAGGAGTGCTACTTTTACCTTCACCTTCAATAAATCCATACTTTGCCTGTTACTTCTGTACACTTGCTCAATTCTTTGGGGCACCAGGACCTGAACCCCAACTGGACACCCTAATGATAACAGCAGGAGAGCCTTAGTTGAAACAGTGTCATAAAGTTGGGAGGCTTCCTTATTGAAGGTAACAACTGCTTTGGGGGAGCCCTGCCCGACACAGCCATGCTTGAAACATCCAGAAGGCTGTTTTTGGATCTGCTTTGGGTTAATGCTGAAATATCTTACTACAGAACCTATGTTACCATGATTTGTCTCCTTGGGAGGAATGAACTAGATTCCCCACTGGGGAAGAAATGGGATTGTAAAAAATGTCTTTTTTTAATGTTTTAAAACCGAAATAGCATTAAAACAGAAAGACAAGATGAAAAAGCATAGTCAGATCTCTTTCCCGAAACTCTGAATGCCTCAGAACCATCTGTTAATAGACCAAGGGCGCAAAACAAGTATAAATTCAAGTAAAAGTTCTCAAAGATTCAGAATGTAGATTTTTAAAAATATTAAATCATATTGAATAATTGATGAAGACAGAACAATTCTGGAGTTACTCAGTTTTTCTGAAGAACATTGACAAACCCTGTACAACTAAGCTGGGCTCAGGCATATCGCCTTAAAATTGGTATTTGTTGAGAATCTGGCTTGGAGGTGGTCATTGTTAGGTTGGGAGAGGGTTTGTTACTACAGCATCTATATTTTCATAATTATTTTGTCAGGGTGATGAAGGAAAGAAAGGAAGCAAAGGAAATCAAGGACATATGGGATTTCCAGGACCCGCGGGACCAAAGGTATGTTTCTTATATTCTAATTTTGCTTTCAGGAGATTGTAATTGTGTCTGGTTTCAATAGATTAAAATTCCACTGCAAATTTGATTACTTGTTTCCTTCCCAACAAATACAAAACAAAACCCCCCAAATAATAATTTTAAAAAAGCCTTTAGAAAACATTCTACTCCCAGACCCAAATAGAATTCAGTAAAGAGATCCACGGAGTATGTAATCTTTACAGGAATATCTATGCTTCTAAGAGGGAATCTGTATGTCAACCTGCTCAATTACCAAACATTCAAAAGTTGAGATAAAGCTGGGGCCATAGAAAATACCATTATTTTCATTATATCATTTTGTTGAACAAGAAGTTGGGGGACTGAGAGGCAGCACGGCCTGAGGAGGAGCAGGCTTCAGGAGGCCCCTTCCATTGGACTTGGCTCCAGCTTCTCAGAGCCAGTTGCTTCCCATATGGAAAGAACAAAATATGATTAATTTCACAGAGTTATTGTGAATATAAGGAGTTAATAAAGCATTCAGCATGGTACCTGGCACCTAGTAAGTATTCATCACATGGAGTTATTCAGAGAGAAAAAATCCATACTGTGAAATAGAAAATAGGGGCCTGTGATCCTCATAAATTGTCCAGAACAGGGAGCTGAGGAGGAATTGAAGGAGATTGTAAGGCAAGGAGGTGTCCTGAGTCAGGTGAGAACATTGTGACTGTTTTGAATATGTCAAGAAGTAGACTGCAACCCACTTGAATCAAAGTGTGAAATATGATTTGTCAAGAACTATGTAATGTTTTGAACAACCAACAATAAAAATTAAAGAAAAAAAAAGTAAAACAAAATGAAACAAAACTAAAAAAAAAAAAAAAAAAGAAGAAGTAGACTGCAAATCCAAGAGAATTTATGCCCCTCGGAAGATGCTGATTGTAAGAAAAGAGATAAGGAGTATATTCAAGGATGAGATGATTGAAGAACAAATGTTGAAGAATGGTATTAGCAAGAGCAGGTAAAAAACCAAAGCCTCACCTGTAGACCAGTGATTCTGAAATGCTATCGTCCATCAGTGTCACCTGGTGAGTTTGTCACAAATCCATATTTCTTGGTCCTATTCCTAGAGATAAGGATTCAATTAGTGGGTGGGTCCCCGTAATCTGCATTTCTCCAAGAAAGTCCTCAGATATTGGTAGTTCAAGTAGCACAATTTGAGAAATGCCCACTATATAAGAAATGTGTAGTATTAGTGTGAATAACGGGGCTTACTTTTAATGTTTTTGTTGCTCCTACTCAAAGTGAGTATTTTTATATTTTGAAATAAGGATTTTTCCCCCTTAAGGTGGAGTTGCAGAATTGCCATATTTTAAAGCATAATCGTACCTTCATCCAGGGGCTTTGTATGCCTAAAAACTATATACTTTCTGTGATACTTTTTATAGTTTAAAATGAGCCTTTAAAAATAAGGACAAATTAAATCTAGAAGCATAATTTTTCTTTGCCTCTCATTTTAGTGAGGAATTTTAACAGGTATCTTGTTTCTTTGTCACAGGATTGAATAGGGGGTTTATCTGTGGCTAATCCTGACTGACATGTATGTGCCAGTACTGGTTATGCATTGTGCCAAACCCTACAGGGTTCAGGTTTAAGGACTGGCTTGTACATGCCCTCACAAGGACTGGGCCCCAGCAGATCGGTGTTCTTACCTTGTGGGTTGTAATGGATAATTTTACCACCCAGTAGAGGCCTTAGGTGGGAAGATGGACACTGGCTCTTCACTGGTGAATCAGACCCATGGAGTCCCTCCTGGAGGAAGTGGGAAACCCAAGAGACAGCTCAGAGGACATGAATCAGGCAGAGGAAGGATTAGTCATCAATCTGAAGTCCTAGCGGGTCAGATAGAAGCATAGCATAGAAATAGATCAATCGCTAGTGCAGTTCTCCACGGTTTTGTTTTTGTAAAGGGCAGATGGTAAATATTTAAATTCGTGGGCTAAGAAGCAAAATTGAAGACATTGCATCCATGAAAACCCATTGTTAGCCCAGTGCTCTTCAAAATCTGGGGGCAGGGTGGCTTTGGCCACATCTACTCCAGAGCAATAGTTTCCAAATTGTTCTGGTTGTAAAAACTCTGGCAGTAAAATTCTGATCACACTCCAGTATAGATTTATTTATTTATACATATTTGAAATTGAACCCAGGGGCACTTTAACACTGAGCTACATCCCTAGTCCCTTTTTAATTCTTATTTTGAATTAGGGTCTCAGACCAGTCTCAAATTGTAATCCTCCTGTCGTAGCCTACAGAATTACTGGGATTATATGTGTGCATCACAATGCCTGTCTTGTTTATTTTTAATCAATTTTATTCACAAACTATCTTATATGTTATCGATTTTCATAAACAATGGGATTTGTGGTGTGTGCAGTGAAAGTTGCTTTGAAATATGGTTTTCTAAAGTATGGTAATGGGGTCCATGTCAGAGTCATCAGAGGTACTTCATGAACATGCCTGTTCCTGGGCTGCACCCCTAGATCAAATCTGAAGCTCTGGGACTTGAAACCTAGGGCTGCATATCCACCTAACTCTTTTGATAATTCTTATACTTACTAAAATTTGAGAATTGCTGGTTTACATTTCAGGTGAGACAGAGGAATTACCTCTTGCTCCAAATTGAGTCTCTATGACTTACTATTAAATCCAAAAAGGTAGTTAGGGAGGAAGAGAGCAGAAAGGGGAGGAAAAGAAAAAAAGTACTTTAAGTTTTCTATCCAAAGTTAATTTTTTTTATATTTATTTTTCAGTTTTTGGTGGATACAACATCTTTATTTTTATGTGGTGCTGAGGATCGAACCCAGCACCCCGCGCATGCTAGGCGAGCGCATTACTGCTTGAGCCACTTCCCCAGCCCTATCCAAAGTTAATTTTTTAAAAAAATCTATGAACTCTCAACTTCTAAAAAAGGATGTAAGATAACATACAGTGGAAGATTGAGCCCGGTGCCATGGCACACAACTGTAATCCCAGCAGCTCCAGAGGCTGAGGCAGGAGGATTGCAAGTTCAAAGCCAGCATCAGCAAAAAGCAAGGTGCTAAGCAACTCAGTGAGATCCTGTCTTCAAATAACATACAAAATAGGGCTGGGGATGTGGCTCAAAGGTTGATTACAACTGAGTTCAATCCTCCGTACCCCCTGCCACAAAAAAGATATACTATAGGCCATTAAAATGAAACAAAAAAAAAAGGAAAAAATTGAAATTTGAAGTGTACTCTAAAACTTATGTGGAAGACATTGCTATAATTTAACAAAACATTTCTTTCTGAGCTTCCTGGCATACAATACAAAAGGGAAGGACGGTGGATTGCAACATCTGTATTAGCTAGTGAAAAGTTGCACAAGAGATTAAATTTCTTCTAACACTCAGGAATTAACTGAATACATTTAATAGAGAACACTGAAATCTTATGGATTGACTACTTTAGCAATGATTTACAAAAGGTGCTCAAATTATTTTCACATTAATTTATGAAAGACTAATATTCTAAAATCTTCAGACATTGAAGTTTTTTTTTTTTTTCCTCTTTTTAAGGGTGAACAGGGCATTATGGGCCCTTTTGGAATGCCTGGACCATCAATTCCTGGACCACCTGGGCCAAAGGTATATATTCTTAGAAATTTTTTCCTTTTACTTGGATCTGTGGCAGTTAGAGGGAAAAACATTTATATTTTATGATCCCAGTGGATCATGATTTAGTGAACTAGAATTTCTATTTTGGGAAATCCCTAAGAAATGGTCTCATTTAACCCTGATATTTCACAGATAAGCAGACCAAAAGCCAGCAGTAGAGTTAGCCACTGCAGTTAGCAGAGTTTCCAGTGTTAACTTCATCCTGTACTACTTCTTCCAAATCCTAGACCCCAGGGCAGGCAAGAATTTTATTGCATTTATTCAGAAAAAAGTCTACTAGGATGTATAATTGAAAAGCTTGGCAGAAAAGAAATACACTAAGTTTTAAGAACATCCCCAGGCATTCTTACAGCTTAAATATTTGAGTCTAAATTGCCACTTATTATTTCAGTGAGTTTTCTCCAAACAGCTGTAGTAGTCTTTATTGGCAAGTTTTATTAGGATTTGAACTTCCCCTCAAATTTGTCAAAAAAATATAATATTTTAAGACTTGAGTTGGTAGATTAAGCTCTTTCAGATTGGCCAGTCTCTTTTATGCTGTGTGCCTTGTGGTTTTTCACACAACCTGGAGCCTGTGAATGTTATTTGAAATGTACAGGGAGATAGAGGAGGTCCTGGGATGCCTGGATTTAAAGGAGAACCTGGACTTTTTATTCGAGGACCAAAGGTATGTTTTATTCATGTTCTTTTCCTTTGTTTGCATGTGAGAAGTCGACTTAATGCCTGCTGTGTTAGCTTTTCATTGCTATGACAAAATACTTGAAATAATCAACTCCTAAGGAGGAAAAGTTTATTTTGGCTCATGGTTGCAATCCATGTTTTCTGGGCCTTCTTGCTTTGGGCCTGTGGTGTCATAGTGTATGATGGCAAGAACACATGGTGGAGGCCTTTTCAACTCCAGGCAACCAGGAAGCCAAGAAAGAACAGGAAGAGGCCATGCAAGGTCCCATTGTCCCCTTCAAAGGCACATCTACAATGATCTAGCTTCCCCACCTCTTAAAGTGTCTACCACCACACAATTTTAGTGCCACAGACTGTGGTCTAAGCCTTTAACACATGAACCTTTGGGGGACAGTCAAGATCCAAAGCCTAGTACTTATTTTTTTGTTTGTTTTTTTTTTAAATTTTGTTTTTAATGATGGAAACAACAACAAAAATATCTAAAACCAAAGCTTCTGGAAGAACCATTTGTTCTTGCCTGTCTTGTACCTCTCTTCAAACTTAATCTTGGCTTCCCGACGGGCCTTATGTTTAAGAGCAGGGTCTCTGAAGACATCCTTGTTGACGACAGTTTTGTCCAAGGGGATATCGACAGAGTACCTTGTGGGCATGAGGTGATTGTAATTATAAACTTTCACAAAAGACTTGATCTTTGATCTTTTGGCGATTTTCTTCTTGCCCATGGAAGCTGTCACTTTGCGGGTATAGCGGTCGATTCCAGCCACCAGAGCATGGCTATAGGGACGGTCTGATGTGCCATCATCAATATTCTGTTTAGTCTTAGTAAATTACTTAAGTCCTCTAAACCTTAGCAATAGAAAGGAATTCTTTCATAGTTTAAGCAGAATTATATGACTACACCTATAAGGCGTCCAGTAAACGTAGACCACTATTATAATTTAAAGCCTCTTTGGTGGAGAACATCTCACATTTGTTTTTATTTTGCATCTTCCCTTCCTCTCTTAAAAACCCTCATGTATCACCATTCCCCGGAAGTAAGTCTAAAAGCCTAGTACTTATTAAGTGGATTTTTCTACTTGTAAATTCTCTGTATTGATGAAATAAATTTTAGAACTATATTCTTTAAAAATCAGTTTATTTTTTTACATATGTGGAAAACAGTAGTTCCTATCGTTATATTTTTGCTGATTAGACAATTATTTGAAAATGCTGTTTTTGCAATGTCTGTGATATAAGGGTTTTAATGGCCTCTGGCTCTTTCATTTATTTACCAATGGGAGCATAGCTGTTTGCAAGACACTGTCCAAAAGAGCTCACATTTGGAAGCTTTACTGGATCAAAGTTTTGCTTGCTTTGATTTTTCATCCTTTTGAGTTATTTCAGGTGAAAACACAAATAATTATACAAGAGCCTAACCAACTGGTTTTCCATGGTCACAAATCACCATTTCCCTTTTCACACTATACCCAACATTGCAGCAAAATTTAGCATTTATAACATTCCTAGGTATCAACCATCTCTGTTTATGGGAACAGACTTCCAGGCCCCATAATTAATACTTATTAAATGAATAGCATATTGCCATGGAGCTTTGAGGCACATTTCTATATTCTCTTATCATATGTCGTATCTTATGTCTCATTTAGCTAAAAAGGTTAAAGTACTTAAACTGAAAAAAAAAAAGTTGGAGTCGTCTTTTAAATTAAACATAATTCATAACCTATTAAAAACAGACATAAATTGGAGTGTTGAAGATCCTCCACTCTTCTTACTGTTTTAGCACTTCTTCCTGCTGGAGTGCTGAGTGCCCTAGTTTGTCCAAGATTGAGGGTTCTTAGGATGCTAGGCTTTCAGACTGAAGCTGGGAAAATCTTATGCAAACTGGGATGGGTTCTTCACCCTACCCCAGACTTCGTGTTATATGGAACCTAAGCTATGTAGATAGCTCAAGAAAATAAAATTCCTTTTTTGGGGGGGGGGTACTGGTGATTGAACTCAGGGGCACTCAGCCACTGAGCCACATCCCCAGCCCTATTTCGTGTTTATTTAGAGACAGAGTTGCTTAGCGCCTTGCTCAGTTGCTGAGGTTGGCTTTGAACTCATGATCCTCCTGCCTCAGCTTCCCAAGCCGCTAGGATAACAGTTGTGCACCACCGCCCCTAGATAAAAATTCCTTTTTTCTGGTGAGAAACTGCAGACATGAATTTCTTTAATTATATCAGTGTGACAGTTTTCATCCTGTTTGATAACTGTGTATGCACAATCCATGATTTATACTTATCTCTCTGTATTTCCTTTGAAATAAGAATAAAGTCTAATTAAATGTGCTGCTAGAGTTTTCAAACCTCACTTCTTTCCTGCTGATGAACACTGGGCATTGTAGGTAATTGTATTTAAAGATATTTGCTTTCAACCAAACATTTTCCTAATCCTTTGGGCTCTAATGCTGTTCTTTCTGCCATTATTTCCTAATTCATTAGCTTTTACGGTTTTGGAAGGTCACATTCTTCTTTGAATGGCCAATGGAGGTTTTGGCATATTAATTCACTTTTGTGTACTATTTCAAGGAACTCTCGGACCCATTTCTAAACACCAGATTTCAATTTTCATCCAAATTTCTGTTGAATGAAAGACTTCAAAGTAAATCATTTTTAGGACATTCCCTTGAATCCAGTGCAGAAAGGCCAAGTGGCAAAATTCCATATATAAAAACACTGTGAAGAGTTCAAAATAAAAGTATACCCCTATTCTCTTGATATTTCCTATTAACATTAGAAGCAACCAGCTAAGTAAAATTTTTTGCAGGAGAGAGGGCAAAGATATCTAAGAAAAGAAAATGTTTGTAAACTGTGTTTCTATGTTTTGTTTTGTTTTTTGCCCCATACTGTGGGTGCAGAGGTTAATCAATAACAGCTGATGATTGATTATTGCTTGGAACTTAGATGAGAGATTTGAAAAATGAATTTTGATTCCAATTTTTTTTTCAGCTTAACCAGGGAGGCAGTTATTGCTTTATTTTGTTGCAGGCCTTTTCCTGGTATAAGGATGGGAAGAAATGGGAATATTATTTGGGGACAAGTCTTATACATGAATGTTCAGAGCTTAAACCTTAAATGTAATTGGAATAGCATAAAAAATTGCTTCTGAGTTTTCAAACTCAGTGACCAATTTCCTGTAGCAGGGGACATACTAAAATTTACCTCCTCTAAAGACTATGTGCTTTTTCTTTATTGTACATCTCTCAAAAAATCATAAGTTTTTGTTGATGAAATAGTGCATAAAGTTTTTATATGGGGCTACACATTTCTTAAAGATGATCATTTTTAAGAAGTCTAATCACATAAAACTAGTCTCTTAGATTTACTAGGAGAAAACAGCTGTTGCATGGTTTCAAAATAAATTTATCATTGCTTTAAAGGTATGTGCTATTTTTCCTTCCCCTAATCAATCATTCAGTCATAGAATTAGGAAATTTTAGAGAGTTAACTTTTGGACAACATTTTGGGTTGGAGTAGTACCAATTTGATCTCAGAATTTGCTTGTATGTAAAGAAAATTCTTGGGTATTGTTTATTTTTACTGTTTGAGGAAAATAAAGTCTGCCTATTTTTAGAGTTTTCTCCTAATGTAAAAAAACACATATTTTAAAACATGAGCACCAGGAAGGGTGGTTTACTTTGATTGACAAGGTTGTAGGAGTTGCCACAGTAACTGAATGGCATGGTTTATTAGACTTTATATTTAACAAATCTTCTAAAAGATTCATTTTTTTCCTTCCTGTTCCCCAATTTTACTTTAGTCAAAAATCTTTTGGATTTCTATTTGTAAGAGAATTACATATTAAATTTTGTGTAATTACAATTACACAAAAATTACCTCTCCCTAATCTCTGAATGGAAAGTGAATGACTGCTGCTCAAAGTTTTGATGCCTGAGATTGTCACTATTAAGCAATATTTATAACTTTTCCTTAGTTCCAAAGATAGTGAACCACAAACTATCAGTGTCCCATCCTTTCATAACTTAAAAAAAAAAATCTCCTTTTGTTTTCGTTTGGGTTTATTCATTCCCCCATGTAATTTGGGTACCATCGATGAAGACAATAGGTTTAACACAATAGCAAGGAGTGTAGAATTATCTATTCCACCCTGAAATTTTTGCTATGAATTTACTTTGCTTATCTCACATTGTGCTTACTGAATTTTTTATGTTCCTCCCAGATTTATGATATACTATTTATTATTTTGAAAATTGAAATTTATTACCCGCAAGCCATTTTCTAATTCCTGGTAATTGTGTTTCCAATCGAGGACTTTATAGTGGTTTCTATATATTCCCTACATTCAAACTGTACTTCTTCCCCCTGAGCTCAGGTGGATAAGGCTTCTGAAGAGGTAACAAATTGCTGAATGTGGTAGGATTATCTCCTAACATTTTTCAAATTATTCCTTTGCACTCATCAAATATTTCTTTGGTATATTGAGTTGGTGTTGCTTAAGTTTTGTCAGGTGTTTCATGCTTTAGCCTCATGATATCACCTGGTATTGAAATTTACCTAGGGTGCCCAAGGCCCTCAGGGACCCAAGGGTGCTCCAGGACTCAAAGGCGACGGCTATCCTGGTGTGGCTGTAAGTGTGGATATTTCCCTTTTTTCTTTATATTTGTATTTTTTTTTTAATTTTAAACTTACACATAATTGTCCATATTTGTGGAATACAATATGATAATTTGATACATGTACGTAATGTACAATGATCAAGTCAGGATGTTTAGTATTTCAGTCTCCTTAACCATTTATCATTTCTTCATGTTGGAAACATTCAAACTACTCTCTTCTAGTGTGTTATAAAATATGTAATAAAGAGTGTTAAACTGTGTAATGTTGAAAATATTATTCTCCTACCCTTCTTTCCTCTGTTTTTTCTGAGCATTGCATTTTACAAAGATGCTCATTGTCCCCGTTTTGATGTTATCTCAGGGACCTAGAGGATTACCAGGACCCCCCGGACCAATGGGTTTACGTGGAGTGGGAGACACTGGAGCAAAGGTGAGATTTTTTTAGCAGGCAGTATACTAGTTTCTAAAAATGCACCTATAAGTACATGACTTTGGTGAAGGTGATTTTAGCATAACAGAAGAACAGAGTAGTCTGAAGCAATTGATGAAGTTATTTATCTTTACCTATGGACTTCCTGGGGCACTTGCACCATTATGAACTTGTAGATTGTATGTTTTTTTTCTCCTGCTTTTCTGGTAGCAATTCTCACATTCCCTTGCTGTTTCCTATTTCTGTTCCTAGATCAGGGTCTAATTCAGAGTCCCTCTCACTGTTCTAGCCATCTCTTTCCTAGGAACTTTCACTCAGCCCTGTGTCTTTAACCATTACTCATGTACTGATGGTTTTTACATTTCTAAGTTCACTCCCTTAAGCTTAGGCCTCATGAATCTAGATTCTTACCAGATGTCTTCTCTTAGATAACTTATAGACATTTCTATCTTAACAACCAGAATAGAACCTTGGCTTTTATTCCCCCCATAACCCTATCAAAGGCATTTACATCTGCCTCATGCTCAAGCTAGAAGACCTATAAGTTATCCTTGGTCCCTTCCCTTCCCTCTTCTTCCTCCATATCTGGTCCTTTGGCAAATGCTGCCAGGTCTAGCTTCAGAATGTATTTTGACTTTTGTTCCTTCTTCCACCAGGCAGACTACCACCATCTTTTGCCTGGGCTACTAACATGGCCTCTTCACTGGTCTTTCCTCTTTCAACTCTGCCCTCCTAACTTAGCAGGCAGAATAATCTTTTAAAACCACAAATAA